CCATCTACAATACGGAAAATCAAACTATAATCAGGTAATTTGATTTCTTTTTTAGTTACTTTCCTCAGTGTTTTGCTAATTCTATAGATAACTAATGGTATTTTGCCTTGTTATTGATTTGTGTAAAAGTATCCGGATAAATCAAATGATAAAAGAAAATTTTGAGAAATTCACGAAACATGCACCCCGTCTAAATTTAAACTATTTGTGGTCCATCCTATTTCTTTCGTCAGCTCTTTAAAACTTTACTAAATAATTTATTTACTGTAATATCATTCATTTCTATTTCTTTTTTCCTTTCCCTTTTTGTCTTTTTATTTTTCATTAAATGGTTCGATACTCGATAGCAATATCTCTATTTTGTTACTCGGTGAGATGTACACAGAGGCGGAGCCAGGGATTTAAGTGTGTGGGTTCTAAATTTTAAAATAAAACATTGCTTCCAGGGGGAATCGAACCCCCATCTTTTCCAGCGAACCCACAACCCTTACCATTGAACCAAAACCCCTTTTGTTACTAGGTTCGACAATATATATTTATATAGATTTAGTAAATATTTCAATACAAATACATGATTCCGGAAAAAGTCACTGGGTTCGCCCGAACCCGCACCCACTATTGTAGCTCCGCCCCTGTCATGTACAGATACATCATATTATATTGTAGATTTCATGTTCTTTTAGCATATATTTCATAAAAAATATTCTTTTAGCACAATTTTCATATGGACGCCGTGATAAATTAAGTAATTTGACATAAGGTAGCTTTTTTGGTGCATTAACATATATGCATGATCTTGCATTTCATTAGTTTTAGTAATGTTAGACATATGATATTGCATCCATAAACCTGTTGTCATTTAAAACCAATCCCAAAAAGAAAAACTTTTTTCATCTAAATATGTAGTAATAATCAGAAGTCATTATTGCTCTTTGGGAAAGATAGTTCTTTTTAAGTACTATTCTAATGATGCTTTAATTAATGCATGTTTATTGAGTATGTTTTTTATTTATTTATTTTTTCTTTTTTTTATTTCACCATCACTTATAAATTCATCATAGACAGAAGGAAGCAAAGTAAGTCATTTACTGGGTCCAATTTACCAAATACTCATAATGTTTATGGGTGAACAATCACTCTTTCTTATTTTTACTTTTGAATATTATCTTTTCCTTTTTCCTTTCTGTAGAAAGGATAAATTAAAAATATTTTAACCTTTACTAATCTCATACATGTTTATTAACTTACTTTCTTTTATAGTCATCTTCATATATTTACCTTAGATAAAAGGAAGAAAAATAAATTAATTTTGAAAGAATTTCAACAAATAATATATCTAATAGTCATACAATTTTAAGGTTAAACAGTTAGTTTTTTGTTTTTTCTTCCTTAGAATTGAACTTGAACCTCATTTCTTTTTTGTTTTGATAAATTAAATTTACTGCAATCAAACTAATCTGGTCGAACAGGTTCACTATTGATCAATTTGAGCTTATATTTTTCCTATTCATCACACACACTAAAAAAAGTCATATTGATTTACATTGGATGCTGATCAGAAACTAGTTTAAAATACTTATAAAAAACAAGATATAGTATCTTAAACTTTAATGCTTAACCAAATCAGCTAATGGTCCAATTATTAGCAATCCATCACTAGCCCATTTTTAAACAAAGAAATTCGTGATGCGAAATAACTCAAACCTTCTTAAAACAGAGGGGGGGAAACAAAGTAGCGAAAGAACTAACTTAAACTAACAACTAAACATGTACAAAATAGTAACAAAAATTGAAGAAAACGTGAAACTAAGTTTAAAAAAAATAAGAAAAAAGAAAACGTTCTTTGGCTCATGAACTAAACCAAAGGCCATTGACTTAATACTATTAAATATTTCACCAAATAAACTGCACCCTTTTTTCTCATTTTTTTTTTTTAAAAATCATGTTGTTCGGGTCAGTTTGAACGCACCTCGACTAATTTCACGGTATATCTGACGTCTCCCACCAGCAACAGGTACCATGTAACTCTATCCACCAAGACTTGCATAGATGAAAAGAAATCACCTGATCTATTTTAACTCCGCGCTGGAATTTGAAACTTAGACCTCATGATTCTCGCCCACTTTATTAACCGCTCGGCCAGCCGGCCAGCCACACCCTTGAGTGCGGCAAACAAACTACACCCTCTCATACTGTAAACCTCACAGCTACAACTTATTAATTGTTCCTCGTTTCAGTTTTAGCCTCCCCGACCCATATGAGTTAACACTCGGATTTTCATCATGTAGAGCATTCTACACCCAAAATCATAAAAGACTAGTTTTAATAAAGAACATCAGTAAGCAACTCACAATAACTTGCAAATAAACACCAAAATCAGCATATACTAAATAATCAACATTCAAGGACAAAAATTAATAGTTTCAATGAACTGGAAAAGAAAGAAAGGTTAATATGTTGATATAAATGGATCTTTTATAGGTGTATATGAACCTTAAAACTTCTGTAACTCAACGATCGAACTGAGAATAAAGAGCGACGACCAGAACCGGAGCTTTGACGGTAAACCTCGGATGATACCTCAAATAGTAAACCTGAACAAATCTCTTGAGTTACTTGAAGTTCTGCGACTATTATGATTGAGAACACGGAAGAGAAGGCTACTATGGTAGTTTCTGAAGGGTGGAGAAGAAAATGTAAAAAAATGACTGGGGTTTAGTGTGAAGAAGAAAAGTGCGGCTGCTTTTTAAGGGCTAAATCACAGTAGCTATTTATTTTCTTTTATTTTTCTTTTCTCAATATTATTTTTTCTGCTTATTTGGTGTAAGTTTAAATATTTGGATTTCTTTAGTATAGCTATTTTATTTCTCTTTAATACTTTCTCTTAGTTATTTATTCTCGAGAAGAAACTCCTCACAATTAAGCATCATGACAAGTAAGTCTTCCTAAATTCATGTGATGCCACCATACTCTTAATGGTTTATGACATTTATAATCATTGCATCATCAAAAAATTGTGAAATGCTGATCTAGGATGCAATTTACCCTATCTTTATCTAGGATTTATAAATTAAGTTGATATTAAAGAGTAAGGGGGAAAAGATCATTTTTCCTAAAATTACTCTTAAAAAAAAGTTCTTTCTCCAAAAATTTCCCTTTCCTTTCTAACTCATAAAGTATAGTTGTTTTCTCTTCTTAACCCTTCGGCCAAGTCGCCTTGTCTTTTCATTGGCTTGATGTCTGATACCTTTTCCTTCTTCCCAACCTCTGTCATGTCTCTGTATTTTGACTTCTCACTTTGACTATTTAGAAGGCTAGAATAATATATTAATGAGTTGAAGCCATGGAACTACTCCTACTAGCCACAAGTAAAACGAGTTCTCATTTCCGGATAACTAAGATTGAACAAGGGAGAGGGAGACCCTTTGTCTAATATTCTTAGGCTTCACTTACCTCTTAGTTTGAGTAATAATTCTTTTTGATAATAAACTAGTGTAATATTCTCAGGCTTCACTTACCTCTTGTCTCCTTTTGTCCTTTTGTCTTTTTATTTTCTTGAGCCGAGGGTCTTTCGGAAACAGCTTCTCTACTCCTTCGGAGTAGGAGTAAGGTCTGCGTACACACTACCCTCCCCAAACCCCATTAGTGAAATTTTACTGGATTGTTGTTGTTGTTGTTATTGTTAATACTTTCTCTTAGGTTTAGATAACTAGTATTTTTGTCTAGCAATTGTAATTTAGGGTGGAATAACATTCTTGACAAAGTCTGAAGGAGCTGAATAAAAAGCATTTTAGAAACATAAATATCGACGCAAGTGAGGGTAGAGAAGAATTACTTGCGGCATAGTTAGCACTGCAAAACAATCCACTGGATCAGAGACTGCAAGAACATGAAAAGGAGAAATACCTTAAGTTCACGAAATCATCATATCTGGAAGAAGTATTTCTACAGCAAAGGAGCAAGGCAAACTGGATCAAATTAGGGGATGATAATATCAAATATTTTATGTTGTCATAAAGAATAAAAAGCTCAAACAAACAATAGTTCAATTGAAGGATGTGGAAGGTAGAATGCAAACAGAACCTGAGACAATAGCAAACATATTTGTAGAAATCTATCAAGACCTGTTATGGAAGAAATAGGAGCACAGAATCAAGGCATTCAACAGTTTTTTGAAGAATGGGTACACTCTATCAATGGATCAGCAACTAGAATTAGTTAAGAAGTACACTGGAAAAGAGATTAAGCAGGCTATGTTTGGTATTGACATCAACAAAAGCCCATGACCAGATGGCTATAGTAGTGACTTTTTTTAGGAAAGTTTGGAATTAAGAGATGGCAAGGTGTTAAAGCAGATAAATGAAACCATGATATCTCTGATCCCTAAAGTGCAAGATCCTCAGCTGGCTAGTCAGTTCAGACCTATCTCTTATTGTAATGTGATTTACAAATGTATCTCTATGATACTCTGCACCAAATTAAAGAAAGTGTTAAATTACTTAGTAACAGATACACAAGCTGTATTTGTGGAGGGGAGATCTTTGATACACAAAGTTCTAATTTGTCATGATCTACTAAGACAATACAACAGAAAGACAACTCCTAGATGCCTCGTGGAAATTGATTTGAAAAAAGCCTATGACATGGTTAGTTGAGACTTCATAAAGAAGGCTCTAATTGGGTATGGATTCCCTTGCTATTTGTTTTAGCTAGTGATGACATGCATAACTTCTACAAAGTTCTGTGTGAAGGTGAATGGGGGACAATATGATTACTTTGAGGGGAGAAGACGACTAAGGCAGGGGGATCTGATTCCCCCTCCCGTCCCCCGTTATTTGTTCTAGTAATAAAATATTTGTCAAGAACCATGAAGAAAATGAGTGAGCTCCCTGATTTCAAGTTTCACCCAATATGCAAGAGACTCAAACTCACTCATTTGATCTTTGCAGATGATCTTTATGATCTTCTGCAAAGAGGATAAAAGATCTATTCAAAGAATTATGGAAGCATTGGATCACTTTAGTAGTGTAACTGGTGTGACTGCTAATGCTGATAAGTCCTACATATTCTTGGCATGGCTTACAAGTGAAATGCAAGATGAGAAAATTACTATGAGAGGATTTGTACCAGGAATATTCCCTATAAGGTATTTAGGGCTACCACTTTCTTCAAAGAAGTGGAGTAAGATGGAATGCCAGCAACTGATAGACAAAATTACAGAAAGGATCACTAGTGCCTATTTAAGACATTTATCATATGCAGGGAGACTATAAATTATCAATGTTGTTCTATTCTCAATTCATAACTTCTGAGAGGCAGCATTTGTACTCCCCCAGAGTGTGCTTAAAGCAGTTGATAAGAGATGCAGTGAATACTTGTGGGGCACATCAGATGAGCAAAAGAAGATAGCACTTGTAGCTTCGGAAAAGGTGTGCAAGCCAAAGAATGGGGATTAAACATAAAAGGATGTAGAAATTGGAATATAGCCTCAGTGGAAAAATTACTCTAGCAGCTAAATAAGAATTGTTTTTACTATGGGTGAGGTGGGTGCATGACATATACATAAAGAAAACAAGCAATAGCTGCAACCATATCCCTCCAGTAAACAACAGTCGGTACTGGAGGAAATTAAATGCACTTAAGGCTACAATGGAGCAATGGTATCAGAAAGGAAAATACACACTCACAACTAGTGGTCACTACTCAGTAACTAAAAGTTACAATACAATGTTGGCTGGACTTGAGAGATGTCAGGTAGCTGATCTAGTATGGACTAAAGCAATACAGCCACAAATTCATAATATGGCTGGCCAATAAAAACAAACTGCTTACAAAGGAGAGACTTCAGAAATTGCACATAGTACTAGACGATAATACATGCAGTTTATATGGAGATGGAACGGTAGAAACAATGCAACACATGTTTGTGGATTGTGAGTGGATAAGTGAAGTAAGGAATGAGCTAAGTAGATGGACGGATATCCAACCGGTGGCCAAGGGAGTGACACAAAGTCTACACTGTCTGAAAACATGAAATGGAAATATATGAAGAAAGAAGTAGTGGTAGCTATATGAGGAGCAATGATATACCACACATCGCAGACAAGGAACGAGAGGATATTCCAAAATACAACTGTGAATATTGATTTTGCTACTGCACAGATAAAGAAGGAGATCAAATATAGATTAGAGGACATACAAACAGATAGGAAAGCACAAAAATGTAGGCAATTATTCCAAAAATTATGTACTTAAAGGTCCCAATAGTGTCACGACCCCAAAATTCCACCTTTAGGATCGCGATGGCAACTAATCTCTAAGACTAGGTAAGCTTAGTACATGCTGGGAATTTAATAAAAATAAACAACTTAGCTATTAACTTAAACTGATAAATGACATAATAAAAGGTTAAACTGATCAATAGTCATACATCCCCAAAATCAATAGTGCGGAGTCATAAGCTCTACCGAAATACATTAGAAATCTCTAAATACAACACCATTTTGGAATGAAAATAGACAATAGTAAAGGTAATATCAGAAGGAGACCTCGAGGCCTGCGAGCGAGATGTCAGGTATATCTCGAAGTCTCCTCAACAACTCAAAAGCAACTAGCTAACGTCCGGCACGCTCCGAGGTATCTGAATCTGTACAAAATAAGCAGAAGTGTAGTATGAGTACACCACAATGGTACCCAGTAAGTATAAGACTAACCTCAGTGGAGTAATGACGAGGTACAAGTCAAGACACTCACTAGACATGAAAACATGTGCAGAGTATTAATATAAACTAACAACGAAAAGTAAAAACAATAAGTGGCAACAAGAGTAAACATGTGATAAACAGCAAAATAAACAAAACACAGTAAAAATACAAGTGATAAAATTTAAGCGAAAACAATAACAGTTCAAATCGTCAAGTCGTTCCAACACAAAATTTATAACAAGAGGTACCACACCTCAGAATCACAATTCACAAATCATAAATCTTTCTTATAACGCCACGTAAGCCTTACATTTTAAAAATATTTTTTTCGAAATAGTTTGCATGCATATGCCCCCTTTTCTCTCCGCGTGTGCTTCAAAATGAAGTAATTCCCCTTAGTAGCGATACGCACATAAAAATCCCATTTATCTCGCCGCATGTGCATCAATAACACCACCCTTATGCCGCCGCATGCGCATCTCATCACAACATAATAATTGACTCGCACCACATATGCCCATACACCACAACAATGCCAATATCACAACAATGCCAATATCACAACAATACATAGCCCACAGCTCAACAATAATGTGTACAAGAATTTCAACAATAACAAAATATAACGGAAAATGACCAGACAATGAAAGATATTATATATAACAATAACTTCAAAAAAAACATATTAATAGCCTAAGAGTCTACCCGGTCAATTACCACATATAAGCTCATGTACACACTCGTCACTTCATGTACACGTCTTTCATATAATTCAAATAATGCAATTAGACCAAATCCTACAGGGTAGTTTCCTACACAAAGTTAGGCAAGGTACTTACCTCAAACAAGCTAAATCAATCCACTAATAAGCCTTTTCCGTGCAAATCCACCTCCGTACAGCTCGAATCCAGCCAAAATAGCTTAATATCATTAATAAAAGCCATATGAAATGATTCCGAATAATAAAGATTCGATCTTTAATAAAAATAAAAAAGTCTACTAAAAAGTCAATCCCGAGCTCGCACCTCGGAATCTGAAAAAACTCACAAATTTCGAACACCCATTCTGATACTAGTCCAAGCATACCAAAATCATCCAATTCTGACCTCAAATCGGCCTTCAAATCATCAATTTATGTTTTAGTAAAGTTTTTTTAATACTAAAATCCCCATTTTCTAATTCAAATCATCAATAAAATACTAATATCTAGGTTGGAATCATGAAATATAAACAATTCCGAGTCAAAAATATTTACTATAATCTAAATCTTTAAAATTTCCTCCAAAATCGCTCAAACTAGCTCTCTAACTCAAAATGTGATAAAATAATCAAAACTCTCGAAATAGAGTATTAAATAGATCTGCCCAAGTATACACATTGCGATCGTAAAGGACAAACTCACCCAGCTACCAAATCCTTCTACGCGAACGCGACATCCCAGTCGGGAAAGCGATGCCTAATCCTCCCCCAGTACCTATGCGAACGCACCCCGACTCCTGCAAATGCGAAGGACAAAAGCCTCATGCCCCTTCCCATCTATCCTTCAATGCGATCGCGGCAACCATCATGCGATCGCGATGCACCGCCTCCCAAAAGCTTAGCAAATGCTTCCCCATCTTTGCGAACGCAAAGTAGAAACCCGCCAGACGCTAAAATGACCTCCGCGAACGTGACTCCTTAGTTGCGATCACGATGAAAGAAATACCAGACATCAGAAAGAGCACTCCTAACATGGTGAAATGATCTGTAGCCTATCCGAAACACACCCGGGGCCTCTGGGACCCCTACCAATCACACTAACCAATCCCAAAACATAACATGGATTTACTCGAGGCTTCAAATCACACATAAAAACTAGGGGTACGTAAAAAAATCCGAAAAAATAGAAAATTGGATCGAACCAAATTAATTCGATATTTCGATTTCGGTTCTTAGGTATTTTGGTATTAATGCAGTATGAAATTTTCAGTAATTCGGTATTTCAGTATAGTACTCAGTATTGAATTTTTGAACCTCTGGTATACCGAAATACCGAAAATTTTAGGTAAGCCTAGGTTGTATAACTAAGACCAAGTCCAACCTTTAAACCCTAACCAGTAAAACTAAGCCATGTCCAACAAAAATGAAGGTCTTTGACATTACGAGTGGAATATTATTTCTATTGAAAGTTGATCCTGAAATTATTACTCAGCTATCCTTGATGGACTTCTCTTTACCCTCCATTCGATTGGAGTGTAAAGATTCAATGCTCTACTTATACAATAAATCCAAATAGACTTTTGGGAAAATTGAAGAGCTTGGCTACAATACTCTATGAACGAAATCAAGATTTATAAGAAATAATTAACCATTAGAAGGTATTTTTTTTATTGTTATTACTAATAACAATACCGAAACTGTATTGAAACCATACCGAACCAAACAAAAAAATACTGAATCGTACCGAACTACTTTGGTACGGTATTTGGTATACACAAATCACAATTAATATACCGAATACAGAAGTACAGAACCATAGTTCTTAAATACCGTACCGAAGTACCGAATGCCCACCCCTAATAATAGCATCAAAACTACAAATCGCACCTCAATTTAAGCCTAATGAACTAATCCAAGTTTCCAAATTAAAAACTTACGCTGAATAATCCTAAACAACTTCGAATGACCTTCAATTTTGCATGCAAGTCCCAAATGACACAATAGACCTATACCAACTCCCGGAATCACAATTCGGATTTAATATCTACAAAGTCAACTCTCGGTCAAATCTCGCAACCTTACAAACCTTCAACTTCCGCCAAAAGAATATCAAATCAACTTACAGACGTCCAAATATACATCTGGACATACACCTAAGTCCAAAAAACCCATACAAAGCTATTAGAATCATCAAAATACCATTTCAGAGTCATCTACACAAAAGTCAAACTCCGGTTAACTCTGACAACTTAAGCCTCCAACCAAGGGACTAAGTGTCCCAATCAATCCAAAAGTTTCCCTAAAAACTCACCAAACCACCCCGCAAGTCATGTAACCATAAATACACATATGTAAAGTATCAAATTAGGGGAAACAAGGCTAAGATACTCTCCCCCTCTTAACCATACGTTCATCATCGAACGAGTATAAGGCATACCTGAAGTGCCGAAAAGGTGAAGATTCGGCTCCGCATACCATGTTCAATCTCGTAAGTCGCCTCCTCGACCGGTTGACCTCTCCACTAAACCTTCACCAACGCAATGTTCTTCGACCTCAACTTCCGGACCTGCCTGTCCAAGATAGCCACCAACTCCTCAACATAAGTCAAATCCTTGTCCAATTACACTGAGCTGAAATCTAACACATATGATGGATCACCATAATACTTCCGGAGCATGAAAACATGAAACACGGTGTGAACTCCCAGTAAGCCGGGTGGCAATGTAAGTTTGTAGGCCACCTCACTCACTCTCTCAAGAATCTCAAAAGTGTCAATACACCGAGGGATCAACTTTCCCTTCTTCTCGAATCTCATCACACCCTTCATGGGAGAAACTTTGAGTATAACCCTCTCACATACCATGAATGCCACATCACGAGCCCTCATATCAGCATAATTCTTTTGCTTGGACTGCACCGTACGAAGCTGATCCTGAAATATCTTGAATTTCTCCAAGGCATCCCAAACCAAATTTGTGCCCAACAACCTAGCCTCCCCAGGCTCAAACCAATCAACTGGAGATTGAAATTGCCTCCCATATAAGACCTCGTAA